CTTCTGAAGACTGGGGTCTCGTTAGTGAGGTCCGGATGACCGTGTGCAGGCTAGAATCTCGCAGTACTTACATTGTGGCTCAATAGAATCGTCTTCTGTGAGCGCCACACTGGTCTCATCGGGCTCATGCTCAGGCTGTCGACGCTTCATGTCATCTGACGACGGCAGTCAGTGCTGCGAGCACAGAGACTCGTTTGCACAAATCTTAGGCGCAAAATTCTTAGCACACGGACTCCTGATTCATTAGTGCAGAGAATATTGGCAGATTCTCGAATGCGGGGTATCTTGAGACTTGTGTGACATGGTCAGACAAAAACCAATGCTCAATGATCAGATTCCCGAATGACCGAAATCGCGCCCGCGTGATTTTCAATATCTCTCAGATCCTGTCACCTCAGTCTCATCCGTGCAGCTGTGTATTGGCGCTACCCTGTGGCCGGCGATACCCGAGCGCTTTGTAGCACGAGGCACGGTGATCACCCGAGCTGCCCCGCATTGCGAACAATTTGGACTACAACGTCCTGGTTGCTGTACTAACACAGCCGTGGTATCGCTGCAGAAGCTACAGCCACAACAAGGGCTAGGCTACGTTGCATCCTAATTGAGGTCCTTTTGTGCGCGGCTCACGTCGTGGTCACCGCAAACTCCTAAGGCGTTTAATTTCGTCGCGCTGAGGGTTGTTGAGACCATTTAATTGTAAACATAACGGGCTGTCTTTTCCCGGCTCTCGGCTGTGTCACCCTCTGTATTGGTTCCCGTTAGACATGTGCAGGCCTCCTTCGAAGTTGACGATCAATGCGGTTGCGACGTCAGCTCTCGGCAATTTCCGAGTTGAACACAGTCCAAATCTGGACAATAACACCTGTCGCGGCTCGCCCACCAGCGTGGCGGATACACTGACCTGACCCCAGCTTATGAAGGAGACGTGAGCTACCCATTTTGCACACTTTGTGCCTCTTTCTCGATATATATAAGAAAGTAATCGAGTACGTTATATTTGTGGACGATATCAAGCTCTTGGGACTGACAAGAAGTTGGACCAGAGACAGTAGCAACCGTGGTGCGTGGCCACCTTTACCACGTCAAAGCGGCACGTCAAAGCGGCACGTTAGAGTTTTGTCAGAGCTCCTTCTGTCCCTTGTTGGCCTGACAATTGACCACCCGACGGTGACAATAAACTTGTAATACTTTAGCAGAAAGTTGTTACTCGCAGAGGTACGTGTCTCCACCACTTTCATCATGTCAGAGGACTTACCCCTCCTTGAACAAGGCTCAGAGGGCCGAAGAGCAGCCCATTTTGCGGACGCCTCTAGGATCGCCGACCGTGCTTCGCCGTCACCTACACTTGCAGTCTCTCGTTCGGCTTCACTTGACGTAGACACCACCTCTGATAAACCACGCCCCACGCCTTCCAGAGGTAGCAGGAGGTCTCTTGCCCCTGCTTCTGGTCCCATTTGGCACGACGACGCTGTCGAGCGTCGGCTTGTTGACAAATCCGCTAGTTCTCAGGCTACCCAACGCCTCCCACACCATCCGAGCACTCCGGAAGCGTACATCGATAAAGCACGATCGCCATCTCCATTTATGCGGACCACTACATCCGATGCGACCCTTGCATCTCAAGAAGATTCTCCGTTGAAGGTATCAACATGGAGCGAGATGACGCTGAAACAGGTGGACGGCCGCATGGTCGAGTTAACGATTGAGAGATTCAAGGACCTCTTACCCGGGAAGGATCTTAGCACCACCCAATCGCGAAGGTTAAAAACGTTTAAGAAGGTCAAAGACCTCAAGACGAATTCGGAACATGCTCGATATGACCCCTTGGTGCGTCCTAATCTACTCGGCTTTCTGTACCATTGGTGACCCTCTATCTACAGTGCGATATATTCAACGCCGTCGAAATCCTGGTCAAGTCGGCCAATCGCTGGAAAATTGTTGCCGACCATCCTGAAACATGCGATGTCGACCACAAACCTGATCTTGCGCTGTACCCTGACGACCAACCTCACTCGATTCGAGCATATATGCATGAAGTGAATCACCAGAATCCTAATGTTGCCCGGTGTGCGTGGGGATGGATGTACAGCTATGTCGAGGTCAAGATCAACGAGGCTGACGCGGGCTTTCACTTCTCGCCATCTAGCGCGGAAGAAGGCGAGAGCAAGCTACTCAGAGAGACCGAGGAGGGTAGGAACGCCAGAGCATCCTTCATCAAGTACGTCACGACAGCAATGCTCCGGCAGCATCGAACGCACTATTATTCGTTTTATATTGCCGGCCTCTGGGCCCGCGCCTTCCGCTGGGACAGGGTGGGATGTATCGTCTCTGAGCCCATCGACCTCCGTACTCAATCCTCAGTCTTCCTCGATATTCTCTACCGCCTTGCGAAGTCTAATGCGTGGGGCCTTGAAGACACCGTGACGCTCGCCTCCGCCGACGATATCAAGCAGCTACAGGCCTTCGACTCACCTGAAGAGCATTATACAGTGCACCGTGACACGATTTTGCGCTTCCAGATCTCATACCCTATATATAAGGTATTATCTCGTCTGCTAGCCGCAAATTATTTGCTAATGACTGTTCTAGGTCTCTTGTCCCGCACTTTCGATAGATGGTACCGATACCAAAGGGGAGGAGAGAACGTACCTCATTGGGCGCCATTTAGCCGGCCACTATTCGCCGGTTGGAAGATGCACGCGAGGATACGTCGCTTACGATTTAGCCAACCGGTGCATGGCTTTCCTAAAGGATCAATGGCGATGCTTCTCACGACACACAGAGATCGAGACGTACCAACGTCTTCACGCGCATCACGTCGAATACATCGCCACTCCTGTGGCGGGCGGAGATATCGACCACCATCGTACGGTCTCCCAGTGCTACCTACAGGACTTACCCGTCGATAAGCGACCTGTGGAGCGCGTCCATACGCGTCTTGTAACGAAGGAGGTTGGCGTACTCCTTGAGCAGTACGAGGATTCCGTGGAGTTGCTTCGTATTATAACGCATGTCGTACTTGGTATGTGCAATTAATCTCATTCTACACATGTGATATGCTTACCAGATCGCAGCCCATGAACAAGCATGGAAGAAGGCGGGAATCCTCCACCGGGACGTAAGCCACACGAATATCCTGATCGACCTCGCTACTGGGAAAGGCATTCTGAACGACTGGGATCTAGCTAAATACGAACAGGACATGCTGGAGGGTGTTCCTGCTTGCGAGCCGGCAGGCATCTCCGTGAGTCTTGTGATTCATAGGCGACTTTGGAAGGAAGTCCTAACCGTACTTCCAGGGAACTCTGCCTTTCAAGTCCGTCATGTCACTGCGCTATCCTCTCAAACCGCCGGAGGTGGCGGATGATATCGAGTCTTTTATCTATGTCATCGATTATATGGCGATGCGCTTCCATTTGCACAACGCCTCACCGGAGTTCAAGCCAGGTATGACTGAAGAAGAACGCAACAAGCTGAACCAGCACAATAAGCCTCTCGCTTCTTTGGTTCATCATTTCTTCTTCGACGAGAAACCTATCGGCAACGGTCTTTACCACGCTGGCGACTACAAGTACGATGCCATCAAGCTTGGCGAGCCGGCCGTGAAGCTACTCCCACTCGACGACACCGGACGGGCGTCTCTCATTCAGGAATGTCTCGACAAGGCCTATGAGCTACTCAGCGAGCACTACCAGAAGATCAACTTCTCGTACTACGAGCGTTTTAAACCGAAGCGCGGCCACTGTACACGTATAGACGAAGGCGACCGGAACAGACCCAACACCGAGAAGCAGAAGGGGGACCCTGCCTTCAAGAAGCCCCGTCTCGGCCGCCGATGGCGTGGCTCGAGAGCTCCGCAGGCAAGCTCCCCGCTCCGCCCCCGTGAAGGCCTCGATCACGAGGCCCTATACGACATGCTCGCTTCCCTATTCCTGAACGAGGACAACACCGAGCGGGACTTCGCGGGGTTGCATTGGGACAAGACCTACGACCACTTCATCAACCAAGGCGTCGTCACCTACGTCACGCGCAAGAACAGGTCCGGATACCACACCTTCTCCAACGGGAAGGACATCGCGATTCCTAAGCTGGACACGATTGAAGAGGCCCCGGAGCCCCAGGAAGACGTCCCTCCGCCTGCCGCTCGCGTTACGCGGAAGTCGACAAGAGCCCAAACGGCTTGGTCCATAGCAGAAGCAGCCGCACGAGGTTCTCGCAAGAGAAAGCCTACTCGCAGGACGGCCCGCAAAGGTGTTCGGACTAAGCCTGCTGTGGCGTCGCCGCAGCCCGAAAAGGAGACGCAGAAGGCGACCGCCTCGCGGAAAGCTGAAGCGTCGCGCACACCGAATAGCCCTCGAATAGCCACCGCTGTGAAAGCGGATGTGACCGGTGAGCGGCCTGCTACCCGTAGAGGTAAAGCTAAGGCTGCGGAGCAAGCTCCGACGAGGAGGCTGTTGCGCTCGGCTCAGAAGGCGGGTTGAGTTGTTTGCCAAGGTTCCAGTCGACGGTTCAAGCTTTCCAGTAACGTGTAGTTCATCCCCCTCCCCCAGCCACTAGTAGTGTATAGTACAGTGCCGTTCAGAGTGAGTGTAGTCAGTTTTGCGACTGTAGACTACTTTTGGAATGTGCTGCAAGGCTGCATGGAAGTGTCGCGTCTATATCTATCTTTTAATATCTAAAAATCCACGTTCATTCAATTAATGTCGGCGGGCAGACCAGACGCGAACCAGTGTCCGGGGTCTAAGTGGTGCCAGTCGCATCAACGCGGTACGGCGGCATAAAGACGGTCGACGCCATGAAATCCGCGCTCTCAATGTGACCCAGTTAAAATTGGCTCGTCGAACACTTTGCGTCCACTTCGTGCGCAGCCTCATTCCCTGGGAAGACAGACTCCTCTTCGCATATTTCGCCCACGGGCTCGCGGGCTGTACACGGCACTCTTGCTACCGTTGTATGTCAGACGCGAAGCGGAACATGTCCACCCTGAAGTCATAGTCCCTGCATGCAGCCTCACTACGCAGCTGGCAATATACTTCGTTTCCTCTCAAACCTGGGCTTGACTGCTTGTATAAAGCGAAAGGTGAACATTCGCTAACTCAACGATGCAGATTTGCTCAAACTATAAGCCTCGATAATATCAACATGATTGGCATCTTCTACCAGCGTGAGTTGCATTTGTGCAAATCGTCCGCTCATTCTTCAGATCCGGCTTCGGCGAACGCATCCGATAGCTTCTGTACTTTTGAGAACATTCGCTCCAGGAAAGCCAAACCTTCCCCTCAATAACTTATCTTTTTGGATCGTACCACCGAGAAACCATTGCTCGTGCAAGGAGATGAGAAATATCAGGACTTAAGCTTAAACAACAGGGCCCGAATTGCCGCCGGTACTGATGCCGTCCAGCGGTCCCGTCCAGTCTCTCGTGCGGGTACCATCGTACCTGACCTTAAAACAACTTGTGCGAGGGCCCAATGGTCCTTTGTAACAAACTCTATTTAGAGATGGGCTTGTGAGTCCTAGACTTACCCTCTCTGTCTCCATCTACGCCAATGACGACCAAGATTGACGCATTGGCGCATGTCTTTGACTAGGACAGTTTAAGCTCATGGGCTGATCCGTATCCATCCACCATGGCTTACAATCTGGTCGTCGCAATTCTATGGTCAGTGGCTCGATACAACTGACGAATCCCGCCGATTATTTCGTCTCCAGCTTTAAATATGCTACTTGAACTTCGCAGGTTCCGCGTGCGGACACTACATCACCCCCTTAAGTTCCCTTGCCATACTCTGCCGCCATGTCCGCAGATGGCGATGGCGATCCTCTCAATATCGTCTTCATAGCCCTGTCGGTCAGCGGGCAGCTCAACGTACATCTTGCTACCATCGAGCATATGCTTTCCCTTGGGCCAGCGGACTCACCGCCTCTGCATATCCATCTTCTTTCCTTCAACCCTGTGGAGAAGCACGCGCGGTCGCTCTCCGCATCCAACAAGTCCAATCGCAATACGCTGACTTTCCACTCGCTTGGCGAGCTCATGTTGTTCACGGAGATCTCGCAAAACGGTTTGATTGATCGGCACGGGCCCGCGACGCTCCTGCACAAGGGAGGTCTCAAGTCATACCGCTTCCTGGCTGAGCTCTTCGGGTTTAATCCCGACTGCTACGTCAGCGTGTACGAGCGCGCCCTCGAGATTTTCTCTACCATCAAGCCCAAGATCCACATCGCCGCGGTCGACTTGTGTATGCCTATCGGTATGGATGCTTGCATGACTGCACGTGTACCCTGGGGCATACTCTGCCCAAACAGCGGGCTCGAGCTGTCAAAGCATGACCAGCCGATGCTAAAGGGGTTTTGGAAGTTCCCAGCGTAAGTCGTCTCTAGCTTGCTGTCTTTCTGCCTCACACGTAGCCACAGCCCGTACTCTGGTTTTTCCTACCCCGTCCCGCTACATCTTGTCCCGTACAACGTCGCGCTCAACATCGCCTGGCTGCGCACGTTACAGACACACCCACGCATTCGCACGCTCGAGACGCGGCGCGCCAAGGCGGGCATCCGGGGGAAGCTCCTCGACAAGCCGCTGCACGCGCTCCCGTTCATGATCTGCGCGAGCGTGCGCGAGATGGAGTACCCGCACGTGCCGGGACACAACGTCGTGTACGCGGGGCCGATCCTCGCGCCTGCGCCGCCGCTCACGGAGGCGGCGCACCCCGAGCTCGCGCACTTCCTCGCGCGCTGCCGCACGCTCGTCGTAAACATGGGCTCGAACTTCTGGTACACCGAGGACGACGTGCGCGCGATCGCGGACGCGGTCGTCCTCGCGCGGCGGCGGTGCGGGGACAAAAGCTTCCAGGTGCTGTGGAAGCTGAACGGGAAGAAAGCGTTCGAGGCGCTCCTCGAGGAGCGCATCGGGAAAGAGCTTCTCGAGTCGGTGCGCATGGAGGAGTGGATCGAGCCGCCCGCGCTGGCGGTGTTGCAGCATCCCAACGTCGTGGCCCTTGTGAACCATGGAGGAGCAAGTACGTCAGTCACACCCTCTCACGAAGTGAACGCTGACCCAGCTGTCAGATTCCGTACATGAAGCCGCATAGTACGTCTCATATCCCTTACTTGGCAGGCGGTTTGGATTGACGCTCACGTATTGCAGTGCCGGCGTCCCCCAGATAATCCTGCCTCAGTGGCTGGACCTCTACGACTACGCCGTCCGTGTCGAATGGTTGGGGCACGGCATATACGCCAACAAGGGCCATGCCGCGAAGATACACACTCCACAGCTCGCAGACGCTTTCGTGCGCGTTCTCTCGGATGGCGAGGGCAGAGTTATGAAGAATAAAGCACTGGAAGTAGCCGATGCCTGTCGTCGGGGCGGGGGAGTCGGGAAGGTTGCAGAGACGCTATTATCTGCGGCACGCGCGGCGTAAGGACATGGGCGCTCGTACCATATGCTAGGTTATGCTCGGGTATCTAGTCTCTCCTCATGTGTGGCATCTTTTGATCTTTACTGTGACAAGAAGGTTGCATTGCGACCAAGATTTGAGTATGATAATACAGCATTGCTAGCAATACATGTCAATAAATTACAGCATCCGTGTTCCTACGACTGTGCCTGCGCCTGCGCCTGCTTGCAGGCGATTTTGTGCTCCGACCAATGCAGCTTCTGGCACGACGCATCGCAGTACCTGCGATACAAGGGACAATTAGCAAAAGTACGACATTGAATCACTACGCATTCCGTACCTCGTTTTGCCACATCCCGAGCATTTGCGCAGCATGGCGCTGGGGTTGTGGCAGTGCGAGCAGTGCCACAGCTCCGCGGGCGAGGCGTTCAGGCTCGGGTGGCTGCAGTGGCGCTCTCCGTGCTCTTCGACGCTCAGGCCCTCGAGCCACGCTGCGAGGTTGTCCTCCGCGTTCAGCGCAGATCGCTTCTGCACGTCTTCGCTGGAGTGCGGGTTGTTGTCCAGACGCGGGATGAGGTCGCGCCATTCGCGCTCTGCCTGCTCGTACCGCTGTACGATGACGTCGCGCACGAGGCGCAGCTGCGTCTTGCTGTCCGGGATGCTGTAGAATTTGCCGAACTCGCGTGTGATCTCGAGTTTCTTGAGTGCGTTCTGGAAGATCGGTCAGATGGCGTCCCCCTATAAAAGTATGCTAAGTGCTTACATCAAGCTCTCTGAGGTTAATGCTCAGCCCCGGGCCGCGCATCGTGATCGTCAGGAGGATGTACCAATTCAGGACGATGCGCATGTTGCGGCTGTCCGGGGGCGTCTCCGCGACGAAGCGCTTCGCGTCCTCGAGCGCGGACGTAAAGAACGCGATGCCCTCCGACCAGCCCGCGGTGTCGTGGTGCGAGGTCTGCAGCTTCGCGAGGCCGAGCTGGCCGGCCTGGTCGACCGCGCGCCAGAGCAGGTAGTGGCGCACGAACGGCGTGGTCTTCTTCGCCTTGAGCCCCTTCTTGCTCGCGCGCAGCCCGAGCGCCTGGTCCGTGCCGAGGCCGACGACGTAGTAGAAGTACGCGACCTGCGGGCTGCGCTCAATCGCCGCCTGCGCGATGCGCACCGCGTCCGCGGCGCGGCTCTTCATGATGTAGAACTTGCACTCGATGATGTCCGCCGCGTCGAGGTCCGCAGGCGTGCCGGTTGTCCGAAGCGCCTTCGCGCAGTGCGGCAGCGCGTCGAGCCACATTTTGAAAGGCAGTCCGTCGGTGTCGAGGTCCTTCACGCGGCCGGTACGTTCGTCGACCGCTTGGTAGCCCCCGTCCGAGATGGAGAACTCGGTGCGCGTGACAAACTCGGCAAGCTTCTTCCCGAGGCCGTACAGGTCTTTGTCCTGGGCGACTTGCATCATCGCTTTGATGTAGTCCCGCTTCGTGAACATGATCAGGAAGGTGTCGCACTCTGTAGGACTGTAATCCATTAGAGCGTCAGACAGGTGGGGAGGGAAGCCGCGCTCTATGGCATCCATGAGTTTGTTCGGGTCCATGAAGCGCCAGTCCTCCTCAGATTCGGGGAAGACGAGGCGGCAGAGAGCCCCCAGGGCGTCGACCCGGGTCAACAGATCTTTGGACCGTAGGAGCGCGACGAGCAAGTTTAGAGCAGAAGGGTTCGCCTTGATTTCCTTATGGCAGTTCTCGCTAACACTGCAAAGAAACTCAATCGCATGCGACAGAAGACACTGAGACGCGTCCGGTTTCCTGATGTTGCTGAAGACCAGCTCTAGGACTCTGGGGACGTTCAGTTTTCGGATGTTCGCCGCCTTCGCGGAGGCTGTTGAGTCCTCGTCGTTGACAACAGGACTGATGGCGTGCGCGAGAGTCACGATGATCTGTTCGTTATATGCGGCGTTGTCCGGGAACTCTTCCATGAGTCGAAGTAGGGTAGGCGTGCACGTAAGCGCAATTTCGCGACGGATTCCGGAGCCGCCATGATGTGTCACATTAGACAGGGCTTGTAGCCCAATAAGGCGCGTCTTTGGGTTGTCGAGTAGTGGAAGCAGCTTTGGCATGAGTCCTTTAAATCCACAGATTAGATGCCGTAAAACGCTTAGAGGCTATAAAAACGGTTCACATACCAGCATTAATGATCTTGTTGCGAAGGATGGCGTCTCTGGACATCTTGGAATAGATACCAACGATGCCTCCAGTAACTTTCTCGTTGGCACGGTATTTGTTGTATGCAGCATCGAGCTTACGTTGAACCTGTTCAAAGTTGGAATGGACCCTTCTCAGCCCACTTCGGCTATTAAGGTCTACATATGCGGCAAGTTAATCACCAGAGGAGAGTACGTGACCAACGGACGCCTCACCTGGCAAATCGAACATCCTGCAGAGTAGAGCCACAACATGCGACCAGCCACGAGCATCGTTGATTTGGTTAACGAAGGAGTCGATGACAGTTGGTATGTCGACATTAGAGAGGTCGCGAACTTCAATGGGGCGCGAAGGCCTCTTAGCCTTGCGTTTCCCGGACCCAGGCATCTCACTAAGCGGCCTACAGATGCCGTGCAGAGTGGCTAGGCTATGTCAGAGGCGTTGCCGTCGGATGCGGAGTAACGGAGGACGCCCCAAGGAGTTTGGCTGTGGCCCGCTGCCCGTCGCTTTTTCGGTAAGGCACGCTAGTCGGAATGCTGCGGTGGCCGTGACTCGTGGAGGCTGCGGTGCTCACAGCGACTGCGGGGGCTGTTGGCGACGTGGTTATATGCGACACGGAGGCGCGAACGAGCCCGCGCACCTTGCCGACACGCCGAGTTGTCGACGAGAAGGTCTGGGAAAGAACAGCGAGGAAGGGCGGTCCACGTGAAGTGAGTTTGACGCTCGTTGGGCAAGGGCGGTACCAGTGCAGTCGCTTCATTCCCCACCGCCATCTCCCTCATATCTATCTATTCTTTCTTCGTCTGTCTTTACTTCGCCGCCACCTCTTCGTCCCCCGTTTCCTACTGGAGTCGCCTCATTCATCGAGTCTCAGCATGCTGAGACACAAGAAGCAGTCAACACCGCAAGAACTGTATCGGGCACGGAAGCAGCGAGAGGAAGACGAGCGAGACGCCAATCTACCGCCAGGTCTTATCAACCATGGGAACACTTGCTTCATGAACTCTACGCTCCAGGGGGTAAGTCTATGTCACTTGTCACCGGCATCCATCTGACAATGACCCGGTGAAGTTAATTGCTACCCCATTGCTACAATCTCTAGTCAGTTTCGAGGAACTGACACCGAATAACCCGTCATTAGCGCCGTACCGCTCGCCACAGCTGACTAACGGTCATGGAGTCGCAGGAAAGTACGAGCATGAGTGGGTCGAGGGGATGCCGCTCGGGGACGTCTTTCTCGCGACCATGCAGAAGGCGTGGGGAATTCAGCAGAGCCATAGGCGAGAAACCATGAGCCCAAGGTGCGTGTTGCTTTTCCTATGCAGCAGCCGCATATGAACACCTTACCAGAGACTTGTTGAACGCCATTGGACGCAAGTATGACCAGTACCTAGACTTTCGTCAACAGGACGCGCACGAGTTTCTCAGCCATATGCTAGATGCAATGCGGATGGAAGAGCTAGACGTGGGTAACACAGTACGCTTACCTATTGCTGCGATTCGCTGATCATCTCTTTAGATTATCAAAACACGACAACCGCCTGTCAAGAGGCGGCGGCGGTCGAGGCGCACCGCTCAGATCCCCGACACATCCCCCGTACCGAATGGTGCTGAAGAACACCAGGACGATACACCTTCGGACGGAGAGAAGCTCGAGACCTTCGTAGACATGCTCTTCGGCGGCAAGCTCGCCAGCATCCTTGTTTGCGACACGTGCAAGAAGATCTCCGTGACCTACGAAGACTTCAATGATCTCAGTCTCAGCATCAAACCCGAAGATTACGCCAAGGAGCGCAAACGGGATCGCTTCAAGCATCTAACGCGCAAGTTTCGGTTCCGCCACAAGGAGGCCGAATCAAGACCCTCAAGCCCGCACAGAGCGTCTTCAGTCCCTGCCAGCCCTGTGCGGCGGAGCATGGATCCCATGCCACACGACGACGATCCTCCTATTAACGTCGACCACCGTAGGCGCAGTTTCGATCATGTCTCGGTTGCCGAGGACGCCACGCAGGAGAATGAAGCAAGAGATGCGGTCAAGCGACTCGCAGAAGAGGAAGCTGGAGAGGCTAAGACCTCTGCTTTGCCGCCACATGCAGTATCAGACGCGGAAGCCGACACTGACAAGCCACAACAAGCCCATATAGCCTTCTCCGAGCCAGCGCGAGGACGCGACAAGGCTGAGGTCGACTCGAAGAAGGATAAGGAGAAAGCGGACTCGTGGGGAAAGCTTGGACGGCGATTGAGCGTGTCCATGGGCATGTCGAAGAAAGAGAAGAGGCTCAGCAGGTCGAAAGATAGCGGATGGAAGAATTGGAATGTCAGAGATGAGGATACGACTCGTGCGCCTAGCGAGGAGCGTCGGCAACTACCCGACTCAAGACCGCCGATGCATGCACGTACGGACAGCACAACAGACATTGCTGCTGCAACGGACGTGCCAGACCAAGCACGTCGGAGTGCCCACCCTTCTCCCGCAGCGTCACCATCACCCACCCCTCCACTCAGCATCTCGAGCCCTCTCCCCAATTTCATGAGATCCCCCGGAATCGCTCTAAGCGACAAGCGACAATCGAAGTTTTCACGCCCACCTAAGCCCTCTCGCCACGAGGTTGCATACCTACGGCAGCTGCTTGCAGACGTACATTCCTCCACGCCCAGCGCTTTCACTATGCTTCAGCATGCCATAAGTGGCGGGAGTCAGAACGGCACTGGACCATCATCCCCGTCGGTGTCCGCCCAAGCTCTGCTTGCCAAATTGGGACATATGCCCGGCATCGAGGAATGCCTGCGGCTCTTCACCTCCGTAGAAATCCTCGAAGGCGAAAACATGGTCGGGTGCCATCGCTGCTGGAAAATTGCCAACGGAACATACAAGCCTCGGCGGTCAGATGCTGACGAAGAGAAAGAGGACAGTAGTGAAGGCAGCGAAGAAAGCGCACCGATCGAACCGGAGGCTCCGCGCCCCGTCATGTCCAGACGGGAGACCTCCTACTCGTCGAATGAGACACCGGGCAGAGTATCGCCCATCTCGACATCCTACATTTCCGCTTCCGCAAGCGCTGCCTCATCATCTATTTTCTTGCAAGACACTGTATCGATATCCTCTGCACCTACCACCATCCAATCTGTACCACATGAACACAGGACAATACTCACCTCTCCAGTACCCCTTGCCTCATCACCACCAAAGACACCTAACCCACCAGTGCCTTCTTTCGGCGGTCTTCCTATACCTTCTATCTCGACCACCGAACCAGATATGCCCACCCCCACCGTCGCACCCAGCGCTGCTCAACGGCCCACAAGTCCTTTGCCGGGCCGCCCCGCTAACACCACCCCGAATGGCTCACTCGTGCCCCCGAAACTGCGGACAAAGAGGTCTATCCGACAATCCCGGGAAGCGGACGACAGCGACTCGAGTTCGGACCGAGGCTACGACTCAAGCGACATCTCAGACGCAGACTCTGCGTATTCCGATGCGTCGTCCATCGCCTCGCTCTCCGGCTCCCGCCAGGCGTCTCCCGAGAGGGCGAGCAGAAAGCCTGCGACGCCCTCGCCGAACGGTCCCGGCCAGGACCGCAAGGTGCCGAAGTCGCGGCAGGTGATCATGCGGCGCACGTTCAAGCGCTACCTGGTCGCGGTGCCGCCGCCGGTGCTCGTCGTGCACCTGAAGCGCTTCCAGCAGGTGTCCAAATCGAACCCGTACGCGATGGCGTTCTCGAGTGGGCTCAAGAAGCTCGACGACTTTGTCGCGTTCCCTGAGTACCTCGACCTCGCGCCGTTCCTGACGCCGAAGAAAGAGGACTTTGGGCTCGGCAAGCGGGCGACGAAGAAGGAGAAGGAGAAGCGCGGGAAGGACAAGGACAAGGAGGGGCGGTGCATGTACAGGCTGTACGCGGTCGTCATGCACATCGGCAACATGGTACGTCACCCGGTCTCTCTCTTGGCTGACACTGGTTCTGACATGCAGGACGCAGCTCGGCGGACATTATGTCGCGTACACGGCACTCCCTCCGTCCAGCACGCCCGAGCTGAGCGAGTCGTCCACAAACAGCTCTACTTCGTCCAAGAACCAGCAGCAGCCGCGGCGCTGGGCGTACATCAGCGATACCGTCGTGCGGCTCACGACGCTCGAGGAGGTCCTGAAGGCAAAGGCGTACATCTGCATGTACGAGCGCATATAGCCCGCTTCGCCGGCTGAATCCTCAGTAAATCGGATTTCTTTTTCTCTTCAATGGGGCGCGAGATTCATTTTCCATGGACTATACCCCTTGCCTTGTATTGTACGCACTAAATTATTGTTAATCATTTGGGCTATTGTAGAGTAGAGTTGCTGTCATACATGGAACATCCCAATACATGAGGTGCATGAGGTGTCTTTCACACAAACATCAGTCTCTAAAGCTTCATATCTCCGGAAGCGGGCAAGTTGCACTTTATCTGGGCTTGTGGATCAGCCTCTTAATCTGCGGGAGGGGTAAACCACCGTTCCTCTACACTTTAGGCTCCGCTGCGGCAATAGCGTTCTTCGCGAGTGGCCCAAGGTTCTGCCATCCCAGTCGCGATATTGAAGCTAAGTTTCCTGACCCTGAAGGGTCTGCAGGGTCAACAGTGCAAAACTATTAGGTGACCGGTGACCAATTCAAAGCATGCTGCCTCATGACCCCTCCGTCCGATGACGAGCTCTATCTCCCGCGAGGGTTTTCGGGGCGCCCTATACTTGACGCCATGCCCCCACTCAGGGAAAAAAACTCCCAGAACCACCAAAGGTCTCATTTTCACGAGGCCAACTAAGAGTCGGGTTCTTAGCTGTTTCGCCCCAAACAGGGTCTTCGCGAAAGGCGGCTCCTGCCGCGCGCTGCTCTTAGACAGTGGAGGCCCGACGCCTCACAGTGCACCCACGCTCCCATGCTTGTCTTATAGCGTGGAGAGGCTGTCGGCTCGGTCTGCAAGTGGGAAGCGGCGTATGGGAAATGTAAGATCACGATAAAAGGACAGTGCTCGCCTTCATTGCGCCGAGTTACGTAGCGAAGCGTACGTCCGTAGAGGATGATTGAAGCTTTGAAACCTCCGTGCCCTCACGGGCACCTGTTCAGTGGGAACCATTAACCAGATGCGGCGAGACAGATTCTTAGCCGTCCTCCTCTGACAAGCTAGGCCTGCCTCTGCCTGTTGTCGCCTGGGTTGTCGTGGGCCTAGGTTCGCATTCTACCAGAGTTGAGTCGTATGAGGATACATACGATCAACCCTGAGGTTGTCTGGTGACGTATAGTGGCGGGAGCGAGTAAGGAACAACCGAAGGTCTTCTAACGTTGGGCCGTGCTTATTGTTCGAGAGTTAGCCGAGAAGGAGCGGAAGTCTGTCGGAGAACGTTCACGACTCAGGAGGCGGTATACTTTTGCCGTTGTCAGAAGAATGCTTTGAAACACTGAGAATTCCGAGTGGTAGGGTCGCTCTTGCTATGACAATACGCTTCAGTTCTCTAGAGCAGTCTCATGCGATACGACCGCGCAGAGACCGCTGGACGCTCTGTGACCATCGCATCCGACGCCAACCAAACCTTGCGCCTTCTCTGTGAAGTCTCTTGCAATTGAACGTCCGTGATCAGGTGTGCATGAAAGAAAGGATGACCACATACACTCATGATAGGCGCGAAAATCAAGATTGGCGGAGTGTTACGTCGGGAGCTGCAAGACACTTGTCGAACTTCGTGAAGCCTTATCTTGCATTCCGTCCGAGATGGCTGACCTAAGCATCGTCTAATTTTTCTAGTCGTGTTCTATGGAAATAATCCGGCCTATGTTCTCTGGAAAACCTCTCTTAGCTTCGCCACGACCGTCTCGTTTTCCTCCGACGAGCCGACGGTGATGCGCAGGCAGCCCTCGCAGCCGGGCTCATGTCCACGGAAGCGCAAGACGACGCCCTCCTCCTCGGCGAGAGTCTTCGCGATCCGCTGGGCGCGCACGCTGTCGGGCCTGCCGCTCCCGCCCTTCTCGAGCACGGGCACGAGCACAAAGTTGGCGTCGTTCCCGCCGATCGCGGGGCCGAGGTTGCCGGGCGGCAGCGACGCCAGGGCCCGGAGGAGCCACGCGCGGCTCTCGATGAGCGTCGCGACCTTCTTGCGCACCGCGGCGACGGCCTCGGGTGAGAGCGCCGCGAGCGCGAGCGAGGCCGTCGGCGTTGAGATGTTGTACGGTGCCTTCGTGTTCGTGAGGACCTGGATCAGGGCCGGGTGGGCCATGGCGATGCCGAGCCTGTTGCAGACGGTTAGCGTTTTCCGCGGGCGTACGCAGGCCGTTGGCCACGCACCGGATGGCGGCAAGGCCGAAACCTTTGCTGAGTGTCTGCACGACACAGATGTTGCCATATTCCGTGACGAGCGACGCGGCGCTCGCGTCATCGCTCGCAAAGTCGATGTAGGCTTCGTCGACGACGACGATGCCCTTGAACTTCTCATACTCGAGCAGCGACCGGATCGCCGACAGGGAAATCAGCGTGCCCGAGGGGTTTCCCGGCGAGCAGAGGAAGATTAGCTTGATGGAGGGGTCAGCATCTATCTTTTTCTTGATCTAGAGTGAGAATAGAGCCATGTGAGCAACTCGACGGTTGATATCTCAGAAAAGAGCTCACACCTCGGGTATCTTCAGGGAAAACCGGCCCGTCTCTCCGCCCTCGCCGTTGATTCCGCTCAGCTCCAGTGGGACTTGTACGATACCGACGTCGTTTACATGAGCACACACGGAGTACATGCCGTATGTCGGCGGGGTGGTCATGACCTTCTCCCGCCCGGGCGCGACGCACACGCGCATGAGCAGGTCGATGACCTCATCTGAGCCCACGCCCAGGAAGACGTATTCGATCCCGGGTAGCTTGCGCAAGTCTGCTATGCGCGACTTGATTGGGTCGTGCGTTGGTGACGGGTAGCGGTGGAGGTCGAGCTTGAGTGTGGGTTCGAGCTCCTTTCCAAGCGCGGCTGAAGCGTCTTGGGTCTGCGAGTGACAAGGGATAGAGTGGCCGAGGGCATTTTCGTTCGCATCTAGTAGGATGCCTTGTGAGTAGTCGTCTCGCGCACAACGGTATGGGTGTAATGCGAGAATGTTCGGGCGGATGACTTGCTCGAGGTCAAAGTGAGCGGGCTTGGCGGGATAGAGTGATGGGTCAAGACCCAGGACGTGCATCGCGGGGTAGGCTGTGGAGATGGTAGAAGTCACACACAGCAAAAGAGAGGAGGGAGTGGGAAAGGTTCCAGGACGAGTCAAGACCAAATAACGAGTCAGGAATCTAAAGTTTGGCGGGTTTGATCCGTTTTGTGACGCGCCCTTGATACGCTCTTTGGTGTGATGCGCCATCTCGCGTAGGCGCCGTCGAGACTTAGCGGGCTGAAAACCCCAATGCATTGGCACCTGCTCACGAGTGGTGAAACTACAAGGAGAATTTGATACAAGCTATGCCGGAATCGGGTCCAACCTCCAAACTTTTACATGTCCATCGTCCCCGGCAGTAGCGAACACGCCCTCTATTCCAGCCTTGGGGCACCAAGCGACGGTATTGACATCGTGGACTCCGTGCGCAGAATCGAGACGAGCCATGATTTTATATTCAATTTTCGGACTTGCTTCACCTCCGGAAGTAGTCTCCTATATATCGGCTTTAGCGAGGCAAAATATAGTAAGAGATCCTAGACTTGCTGTTATCTCCCAAATGAGTATGGAACCGTCACCACCAGTACTCGCAAGCCATCCGAGGCTATTCTTCCCTTCTTCTTCACTTTGGTTAGTCGCAGGGGCCTTTGTCCAGGAGATTGAGTATACACTCCGATCATGACCTTCAAGGATAGCGACAGTCTCGAACTTGAGCTCCCCTTGGCCGGGCAGCCGCCGCCATATCCTGATCGTTTGGTCGTCTGAGCCGGATGCAAAATAGCGGCCATTATCAGGCTCCCAAGCCAAAGTCCAGACAGTCGAGCCGTGTCCAGATAGGGTAGCCGCGCAGAACCAGTCGTCCGTAGGGTCGTCTAAGTAGAGTTTTATCGTGTCGTCGTATGATGCTGAGGCGAGTATCTGTGCTAGTGAGGAGTCAGTCATGTGCATGATTGGAAGTAAGGGAAGATCTTTTGGTCTGCTCAAAAAGATTACAGACCTCTTCCTTGGGATGCCAGGCGACGCACTTGACGTCTTGACTGTGTTCCATGAGGACGCCCATGCACTCAAAGTCCGCGTCCGGGTGGACTAGGGTCTTGTCAGCGAGAGCTGTGCAGTATGATAATAAATAGCACACGCACCTTCCCATATCCACACTGTCTTGTCCCGGCTGCAGCTCGCGAGGAGCGTCCCGGTGCTCGAATATGCAACGCTCTTGCACTCCGTCTCGTGTCCCTCGAGAAGACTCATGCACTCCCACTCCCCCTTCTCACCATCCTCGTCGTTGCCCTCCTCCTGCTCCCAGATGCCAATGTTGGAGTCAAACGATGCAGTCGCGAGTGTTTTGCCCGAGGGCGACCAGGCGAGCGCGCGCACAGTCTTTGTATGTCCCGTGGGGATCGTCACCGTATGCATGAACTTGGGATCGGGGTATTCTGGGGCAGACACGGAGTAGGCGTACATACGCACAGTCTTATCGGCAGAGCATGACGCTAGGATGGGTCTAGTGGGATTCCAGGCGATGTGCCAGGCGCGGTCGTCGTGACCTAGAGGAGCGCTTCAGGTCGTGTTTCTATGGAAGAGCTATTTCGCACGCACCTGGAAGGTCTGCGATTTCGCGAATCCCGGCGAGGAGATCCACCTCCATTTGGTCAACGCTCAAAGTGAAGGTAAGCCTCAGAAATCGGCGCGACGGTGGCCCGCAAAATTAATCTAGAACGGTGATCTCCGGGGGGTTTGTGGCGCAAGACATTCGCACTACAAGCACGTCATCTGGACGCTCACAGTCTTGGAGCCGGGCCGCTTCATAAAATACGTTACTCACTAAAATAATGAAAATTGTGGGGCTTTACAGGCATCCTAAATTTGCGAGGTAGAGAACGAGCCAAAAGCAAGTTCTGTCGACACGAACGTCGACAACACAAGCGTAAAAATGTGCATTCACTATCGTTTGTCGATGCCTCAACGATGGGGCGCTCGGGAAACAAACTTTCTGTCCGCTGTTAGTCTACGACCACCGTGCACTCGGGTGATTACTCATTGCTTAAGAGCCACAGTAGTATAGGATCATGCAGTGCCTCGTATACTACGGCTCCTCCAGTCTCACTACGACAAGCTGGCGAAGAGGAGTGTACAGGGTAGTGTCTGCGAGTTCTCCGTAACGGCAAGCTGTTCTGGGAGCTAGCGATAGTAGCACGGCGCTCCGCTCTCTATACGCGAAACTGTACTTGGCGCAGCGGATATCAAAAAGTATAACGAGGCTTAATGCGAGAATGGTGTGTGAGCGAGCTCCGGTGGCACGTTTTGTCCATAGTATGCTGGGCTGGCGTACTTGGTGCAAATGTGCAGAATTCATCAGGAAGCAGCGTCTGACTACGTAGCGAGGGCGCTTGCTACCCTGAGCCACCGCATCTGCCCTTGTCGGGTAGCGCACGCGTAGAGGCTCAGGAGTGCCTGGTAGTACCCAGTGGCAGCGCACACATTTTAGGGGTCACTACGGTATGCCAGAAATTATATATTGGTTATTCAAGCTACAATGTGCAAATTTGTATGCGGGACACACACCTATGTCATTACTGGACTAAAATTAGATTAATGCACCGAAGAGCAGCACTCCAAGGCAAACTCGTGTGGATGTTCAAGCTCAAGCTCAAGAGGCGTCTGCCGAAGTACAAAGACGTCTGCCCTAAAGTGTTGGATGATGGCGCGACGGACGAAGGTAAGCGCTCGAACATCTCGTCGTCCCAGCTTCCACACCAGCCCATGGTAATGCAGCTCGACCATCCCTTCGGTATGCTGCCGAGACTATAGCCGTCACTGACTCTCTGCCTTCCCTGGGACTCTGGAAGAACAGACAAGAGCTGGCTGTGGTAGTCGAAGCTCGCGATATTCCTGGACCCCAAGCATACTGCTACCGACATGCCGCGTTACCATCGGCAGAGCAAGCAAGAAAAATGACAGTGCGCCCTAGGGCCGTGCCCTGTCTCGCTGAGTAAGGAGCTTGTGGACTGCGCGGTAAGCATCACGAACTGCAAGCGGCTGCGGAGGGCCGGGTTGTCCTTTGCCATTATATTCTTTCTTTAGCCAACATATCACTGATTTTTGGACCTATCAGGCTAGCATGTGCACATGCTAGACTCG